CCTCGGGATGTGGTGCCCAACAGGAGAGGTTTGGCGAGCAGGGAGGTGAAATTGTTATTAGACCTGCTGAATTCTAGGTCGGTGGTCACTGGGGGACCCAAAAGGAGGATTCAGGTAGGCAGCTGGTTTGGGGTCTGGGGCTGGAGAGGATTGGCTGAGCCCAAAGACCGTGGGAGTCTCATCTTAGAGAGAGATGGCCACTGACGCCTCAGAGAGGACATCCCTACCCAGGTCCCAGCACACCTCACCACTCGTTCCTGTTCCAGTTGCTTCCTGTGTGTGATTCATCACGTGAAACCATAGGACACGCATTCTGGCTTTTTGCTCACCATATTGGTTGCCATTTTCCACATTAATACACAGACTTCATAACGTTCATCCAAAAGGCTACACAATATTCCCTCCTCTGGGTGGGCATGGTTTAGCCAGCCCTGGTGCTGGGCTGTTGTGGTTGTTTTCCGTGGTTTGCTGGTATGAGGAATACAATCCTGTGTACAGGGTTTTCCACATGTGGGATTGTCTTCTCAGGGGGGTTTCCCAAAAGTCAAATCCCAGAGTCCTTGCAGCATACGGGCACCACGGAGTTTAACCAGATCAGACATGTGGTAACCCCAAATAGGGGTTGTTGCTTGGATTTGGTTTCTTGGGTTGGATTCAGTTTCCACTGGAGATGACCCCATGTGGACATGGTTGGGAAGGGAATTCCAGATCAGAGGAACCAACCCAGCCCGACCTGTGTCCATCCGGAGCTGGGGGTGGGTGGAGAGAAGGTTCTGAGGGTGCAGCTGGGCCTGGCTTACCCACACCGCACCGTTTCAGCGGCCTACACATCCTACCCCGACTCTGATGTGGGTGGGCACACAGGAAGTTGAGATGAAAGAACTCACTTAGAGATTTCCAGGGGGGGAATCTAGAAAGACCTGGGGACTCCAGTGGTTCATTCACTCAACAACATTTATTAAGTACCTGTTGGGCACCACACATGGTTCATCAAGAGAGACATGATCCCACCCTATGGACCAACTGCCTCTAAGGGGAGCCCACCAGAGTTTGTAGAACCCAAAGGTGAAATTATAGTGATCAGGACTACCCAGCAGGAGGGACTAAGACAGCGGTTCTCAACCTGTGGGTCGCGACCCCTTTGGGGGTCGAACGACCCTTTCACAGGGGTCGCCTAAGACCATCGGAAAACACATATATAATTACATATTGTTTTTGTATTTAATCACTATGCTTTAATTATGTTCAATTTGTAACAATGAAAATACATCCTGCATATCAGATATTTACATTACGATTCATAACAGTAGCAAAATTACAGTTATGAAGTAGCAACAAAAATAACTTTATGGTTGGGTGTCACCACAACATGAGGAACTGTATTAAAGGGTCGCGGCATGAGGAAGGTTGAGAACCACTGC